CCGCGTTAGCCACCGCTCGACAACAACAACAACGACGACGACAAATGTCAACAACAACAACAACAAATGTTTAAGATGCGCATTATACACTGTCACAATCGGCACAGTCTCAATCCACCACTGGGCCGAGGCCTCTCCACTGCTGGTTGTTTGACCATACTTCACCAAACGCTGCTCAGCGTGGATCGGTGAAGTGAACACAGCACCTCGATGTGCGGGGTCGCGTGTCACCCGCCGATGACGTTGTCCGTGGCCGGGAATCGAACTCAGGTGACGGGGGTTCCGTAGCGCAGTACGCTCACCGCTGCGACATGGAGCTTAGCGCTGCACCGCCGCTCCGTCGCATTGAAAGCGATATCTGGAGAGAAACGCATCGTGGTGGCGCTGTAACGCTCTGCTACGTCTTGTAGACCGGTTGTTGGCAGATGTTTTTATGACATATGGGACTGTTTATCCATCAGGGTCCCACGGTGTGGAGGAGTATTGTACAGTAGTCTCCAACGATCATATTGGGTATTCAGCGTTCAGAGTGTTTGGCTGCTATAAATGTCCACACGTTCAGCCACTGCGTTGAGCTATTATTTGTGGAAAGGTCGCTTCTGAAAAAGAGCTGCCTAGCTCAGTGGGCCTTACCTGGTAAAATAAAAATAGTAATTCACTCAATCTCTCTGGACTCCCTATCGCTCTGCTGGAAAGAATAACCATGGATCAAATGCTGCCGATACGTAACATCCTCCTAGGGCAGGGGTCGGCAACCAAAATAACAAGAAGAGCCATTTCTTTCCAATTCGGTACAAAATTCAGTATTTCAAGAGCCGCAATGCATCTGAGTACATACGTACTCATCGTCAAGAAGCAGCCCGTAAAGAGCCGCATGCGGCTCCGGAGCCGTAGGTTGCCGACCCCTGTCCTAGGGAAATGTTATTGACAAGCGTGTTGAGTTTCTCTGCTGACGGGTATTGGGAAGGATAGATAGACATTATTACCGCACCGCGTTTACAATACAGCCAAACGTGTCATATTATGGCGAGCGATGAGTTATGGAGGCGTCTTATTCAATCAAGGTGAATGTGGACGCAGATTAAATTCGCTGTCGTGTGTGCGGGCAGGCAGGCAACTGTGTTGCATTACACGCGAATAACAAAAGCGTTGACGTAATTTTCCAGTTGACGCTCACGCATTCATCATACGCACCCCGCTACAGAAATTAATGAGATGTTAGAGGATTTTTTTTTATATTTTTGCACGCAGATTATTTGCCCATGCTGCTACTGCTGCTGCATTGGCAGTGGTGCACAAGGGCAGATAACAGCAATAACAACAACAAAAACGCAAGACATTCGTCAATAACACCGTGTAGCCCTACAAGTCAACAAATACATGAGGTGGCGTGACGTTTCAGGCAAATGGCCTTTCTTCAGAGCACACAGAGAGGCCAACTCAATCCCTATGGCCTATGTACACTGTGAAGAAGGGCCAATACCCGAAACGTCGCCTCTTACAGTCTTTTGATTTTTCTCTGCGTCCTCCGGGTTTTTCACTCCGAATGTAAAAACGCATGCTCACACTATTTGCCTGCTATACATTTCCTCGCCACGATCGGCCACTTGGGTGAGCTATCATTTGTGGCCTGGTCGCTTCTGGAAAAGCGTTTTTTACATCAGTAATGGGCCTTACCTGTTAAAATAAAAATAGTTCGGGGCTTATAAACGCTGTTATCAACAGATGCGTTTTTACATTTTTATATATATATTTTTTATAAATCAGTGTGGTGGATGTTATTGCGCGGGTGGTTGTTCGCCGTGTCTAATTCATGCGCGTGGCCAGGATGCGCTGAGAAGCAAGGTGACACGGTGACACTGCAAGGTTAATCGTGTGGCTGAGACACAACATGATAAATGCATTACGAATAATAAACGCGAAAATAAATAAATAAATGACCCCTGCTCCGCTTCTGAAATCTGATTTGGCCGTGAAAGCATTCGGAATAATGCACTTACGTGCGTGTATTTCCAATACAATTTAATACCGTGGATAATTTGCGAAACACAATATTCCTCAATGTAAATGTATAATATACAACAACAATAATTGTACATTTCAGCCCGTTGCCACTGCTCGGTAAAAGCCTCAACACACCATGGTGGTCGCGGGGGAGAGAGTTTGTTCGACCATACTTCACCACGCCGGTTAATTCTCCCAGGTAAACCCAGGACCCTGGGGTCAGATCAGATTTCATTCGGTCAGTGATGGTTTCCGTGGAGGGGAATCAAACTCATGTTGCTGTGTTCAAGAGTGTTTCTGCATACTGTCAATCCTCACCCACCCGTGGATTTTTGTCAATCCACAGGTGGATGAGGACCTCCCCGCGCCGTGTGGGTTTTAAGGAATATTTTGACCATGCTTCACCATGCTGGTCAATGGCCCTACTAAGTATCTAAGAAAATAATTAATAAATTATGTATGTTTTGCGATATGAAGGTCATATTTTTGGTTATATAAAATAAAGAATAATATAAAATACTGATGGGTGGAAGTTTAGCGGTTCGCGCACTGGACTATGCACCTAGTGAGCAAAGTTCAATTCCTGGCCACAGCTAACGGAGTGATGTCACAACGCCACGGCTGGATGACATCCGATTACAGGCCAGCTGATGGAGTCCGCGTTTTAAGGAGGCCAATTGCGTGGAGGTAAAAGGCGTTGTAGACTCCACAACCCAACGCAACGAGCATCCAAAGTCCAGCGATCTCGCGTCATTGATTTAGGTTAAGCGCAGCATCATGGATACAAACTTTACAACCGGCGTCCTTAATTGGCGGCTCAGCAAGTTACAGGCACAGTATTCGCCATCGTTATTTTAAGTATCCGCGCACCTAGTTTGTTTTCTCTGTGGAACTTTGGCCAAAAAGGTGTCCTCTTTCAGAATAATTAATCGCCCACCCACCCCTCTCGCCCCCCCTCTCAACCATTCATCAAGCCGCACTGCCCGGCATGGTGAGGTATGGTCGAACAATTCCCGTTATCAACCCAGCACGGGGAAGCCCTTCATCCAGCAAGGGTACTGTAAATCAGTAGACATTTATAACTACAATCACAAACGATAATCATTTGGAGTTAAAGACGCTCTTGACACAGATCCCATCGACATATCCGACCATGGAGGCGGAGGGATGGGATCACAGTCGCGTGCAGCTGCTACTATTACAATGTTTACATCGCAGCACTTGTGAGGAGGGATGGCGAAATGCTTGTGGGGGGGGGGAGGGCTTCATCCGGATTGAGTGTGGCTCACGATCATTAAATCGCGCTTCGGGACACGACGGCCGACTGCTCTCGGCTCGTCTCGCCGCGTGTGCGAGCTCCCTTGTAACGGCTCAATGCGGAGCATCCACCCAGAGGCCGTGGCGGGGTTTCAACTGGGCGCTGCCCGTTAATTCGCCGCTGCGAATATTTAACCACCCATGTTAATTCATCCCTGAATAAATAATGCGATGAGGTCGTTGGCATTCACGCGTGCCCGATTAATGCACCCCGTGCATAGTCAGCACGTTGACGCGCGCGTCATGGCTGGATTACATCCGATTAGAGGCCAGATAATGGAGTTCGCGTCTTAAGGAGGCCAATTGCGTGGAGGTGAAAGGCGTTGTTCTCTACACAACCCAATACAAGGAGCATTTAAAGTGCAGCGATCTCGCGTCAGGTTAGGCGCAGCATCATGGATACAACATTACAACCGGCGTCCTTAATTGGCGGCTCAGTAAGTTACCTCCACAATATTTGCCATCGGTATTTTAAGTACCTGCGAGCCTCGCGTGTTTGTTTTCCCTGTGGCACTTTGGCCCAAAAGGTGTCCCTCTTTCAGAATAATTAATCGCAAATAAATTAGATACGAATGTTTTATTCTACAAAGGACTTACATATAACAACACTGCAATTTCCCTTTCATAATTTGTAATAATCTTAAGTGATTTGTCAATCCACTTCTCGAGAAGCTCGTGCGGGTTTTGGGGCTTATTTGACCATACTTCACCACCATGGTCAGTGCACGTTGGTGAGGTGGGGTGATACCCAGGGCTGGTTCAGATTTCACTTGCCATTGAGGTCAACGGTGACCAGGAATCAATCTCAGGAAGCATGGCTCGTAGTGCATTGTGCTGACCACGGCACCACCGCTCTACCCCAGTTACCTCTTTAAAAAAAAAACATACTAACAAAAAGGAATTGGATAAATATACCAACTAAACTAAACATTTGTTTTTATTTTACTAGGTAAGACCCATTGAGCTATGTAGCTCTTTTCAGAAACGACCTGGCCACAAATGATAGCTCAACGAAGTGGCTTATCATGTGGAAATGTATTGCAGCCAAATACTCTAAACGCGTGATGTTGATTCTGAATGTGGAGAGAAAAACCGGAGGACCCGGAGACACAAAACTCTAAACATACAGGCGTCAGGGTCGGGATCGAACCCACGACCTCTTGTGTACCAGGCGAGGTAGTTAACATCTCACCGCCGTGGCGTCTATGTTATAGTAAGATAGCTCACAATAGATGCATCGCATGTATACTAATAACCGTTTTTAGATTTGTATTTTGAACGTGATGGGCTTATGCCAACTACCCTTCTCCAGAGTGTTACAAAAACATTGCGAGAACAAAACAACAAAAAATTATTTGAATTGCAGGGGGCTGTGCGGCGGGAGATGGGTGAATCATTCCACCCCTGGCTAACAGACTTAACATGATTTCATCTCGATGATGAAACATAACCCTGCCCATAAGTATTATTATGTAGATCGGGTGGTGTGCACACTAACAGAGTTAGTCATAGCCAGCCTCCACAGCTGTCAGTCCGACTAGACTCCCCCCCCTCTCACCGACCAAGGAGCAACCCCGCCCTGAGGACCTCCCACCGTTGATCGGGGATTGGGAGGCGCGGGGTCGCGGGGCGTACGCGTGGCTCATTCAGCTTGTATTGAGCGTCGCGACCCACTCTCATTCGCTCCCGTCAGGCTGTCACTCCGTAGCCAGCAGCAGCAGCTGTCACTCCATCGCCCCGGCACAGCGCTGCGCGCGTGCGAGTCTGTGTGTGTGCGCGCGTGCGAATCTGTGTGTGTGCGTGTACGAGTCTGCGTGTGTGCGCGTGCGAGTCTGTGTGTGTGCGAGTCTGCGTGTGTGCGCGTGCGAGTCTGTGCGTGTGTGCGCGTGCGACTCTGTGTGTGCGCGCGTGCGTGTCTGCGTGTGCGCGCGTGCGAGTCTGTGTGTGTGCGCGTGCGAGTCTGCGCGCGTGCGTGTCTGCGTGTGCGCGCGTGCGTGTCCACTGCCCTTATACAGGCAGCGAGCGGGGCGGGCGGGGGAGAGAATCACCGCCGTCGCCTCCGCCTCTTCAGTTTCGCCACAGAAAGAATTGCACAGACGGCAGCAGGCAGTGCCAGAGATAGACGGGGAACGCCGCTTTGGCAGTCATCATCAACACGACTCGAAGTAAAAGACAACGTGGACTCTTGATTCCGAAGTGTCAGATTATGACAGTTTAGCAAAATCGGCGGTGGAGGAGGGGGGGGGGGTAGTGCTAAAAAAATACATCTTTATTTTTAAACATAGTTTTTGGGTTTCGCTCAGCTTTGAGATTTCGAGTAAAAAGATGCCATCGGCCCAGCCCTGGGAGGCGGCGGGCAAGCCCCAGCGCCCCGTGTCGGAGTGCGCGGGGCCCCCCGCCTCGGCCGCCCCCCACCTCGCGGCCGCTCAGGGTGGCGGGGCCCGCGGCGCGGCCCTGACAGCCCGCAGGGTCCAGCGACCGGCTTCGCTGAGCCTCTGGCAGCCGCTCAAGATATTCGCTTGTTCACAGCTCGGATCGCTGGTGCGCAGAGCCGCTCTGCTCAGGGACGCGCCCGACCACCTGCACAAGTATGAGAAGTCGCACAACTTCAAGGTGAGATTTGGGTGTCCCTCCCCCCGATCCCCCCCCCCCCCCACATCGAGGGCCCCCCTTCGTCTCTTTATAAACGCGCGTTTAGAGGATTTGGCTACTGATATAAATGTCCACATGATGATACGCCACTGTAGTTGAGCTCTCTTTTGTGAGTGCAAGGTCGCTTCTGAGAAAGAGCTGGTGAGCTCAGTAGGCCTTACCGGGTAAAATTTATAAAAAATAAAAATTAGTTTTTTTGTTAGTTTCTCGTCTTTGCCAGAACTACGACGCGCCTCTAAATTCGCGTGTTCGCCGCGGGGGAACCGGTTTCACGCGATGCCACGGGTCGTGGTTCCTGTCGAGTGCGTGGCGTGTTGGTCGACGGCAGTCGGAATTGTTCGGAGCGAAGTAAGTTGGGGCTTGGGCAGGAAGACGTCGCTCGCAGGCGCCGGTGGGTGGCGGTCAACAACGACGATGGGGGTGCACGATGAAGAGCAATAGCGGAGTGGCAGCCAAGGAATGGAACGGGACGGTGTCTGCTGAGCAGACAGAGTGATGGGGATACAGCTCGTGCGCGGGAGCTTGGCGGATCGGTGACATCGCTGGATGGGTGAGCGGTGGTGGCAGATTGTGTGGACCTTCATCCAACAGTGGATTGACCATCGTAGACGACGATGATGGTGATGAAGATTGTGTTTATGTGTGCGCGCGTGTGTGTGTGTGGATGATGAATTCACAATGCATTGAGTGATATCCGGCAGAATAGGGAGCTTTATTTATTGTTAATATCACTTGAGATACAAAAAAAACCCCATTCCAAATGCGGTACGTTCACTTCTCGGCTGTGAAACGTCTCGTTGTGCGCTCCCTCGTGGACAGTGACCACACAGTAATCTCGTGCTCTCTGGCAAAGGCGCACGGCTGATCATGAGTCTTTCTCTCGCAACGTCCTCTTAATTCTACGCACAAGACACACACACACGCAGTGCCCCCACATTTGTGAGACGGGACACAAAACCAGTCTTGCATCGGCCGTAGCAACGGCAATTTTGTAGATTCCTCCCCGCAAAAGAATCGCTCGCCTCGCAGCGGTCGCGACCAGAGCAAATCGCACAAAGCAAGCGCCGAGTTATATAGACGGAACAAAGGCGAGCGCTGTGTATAATTTTAGAAAAGTTAACGCTGGGGTGGTGTGGGTTGGTCGGCGAGGTGGGTGGGTGGGGCGCAGATTTTTTCTTTTTGCACGAACATCGCCAATGGGTCGAGAGTGACCGAGGAAGGTTGAACAATTATGGTTGACGAAGAGACGACATCGACTCTCGACGCAACCGCTTTCAAATGGAAATCAACGCGGCCATCTCCCTCATCCTCCCCCCACGTACCCTCAGGGTATGGGGGCAAGAGGGCATCAGCAGCAGCAGCAGCCGCATCTGGGAGCAGGTGGCCCACGATTAATGGGATGACGCTGTAATTGGCGGAGCCCTCAACCTGGGCCTCGACAGCGACGACCCCTGAGACAGACGATCAGAGGACCGCCTCAGTCCGCCCCCATCCTGCCCCTGAAACGCCCCGCGGGCCAAAGCCGATCTGGTGTTCAGGTGACAAGGGCTTCCAATAACAATCGCTGGAGTGCAACGGCCCTGATCAGCATCATCAACAACAACAACAACAGCAGCAGTCGTAATCAACTGCTGGATGAAAGTCTACCCTCCCCCCACCAAAGCCACCATCTCTCACGATCCTGCGATGATGGAGGTTATCAGAGGCTCCTATGCTCAAATTGTCCGTGCTTCCGATCGACGACTGGAAAATTCCATTGTCCGAAGATGGATCCTTTTTGTAATCCACGTTTCTATTTCAAATAAATGGAATTACCTGCAAGGAAGCGGTGTCAACATTCACCCCTGTTTTATTCACATTTACCTGCTGATGATTCACCCCGAAGCGGGTCTCAAATAAAGTGCCTAAATTCTATATTTAAATCCTTTATATTAAGTTCGCATGCTTGCGTGCTTGCTTGCTTACGACCGTGCAAATATTTCGGTCGTTTTTTAACCCACTTCCCGTGATCCAATCGAGCTGACATTTTCCACACAGACTCGTTGTGCCAGACAATTAATGTTCGTGAAATTTTTTTTCCAAAATTGTACACTTTTTAGACAAAAAAAAATATTTTACATATATTCAAATATAATTCATCGCTTTGGCTGAACGTCAGAGTGTAAGAGCCCAGAGCGTAACCCCTCCACAGGCCGTGGCGGAGTAGCGCAGTTGGTAGCGCCCTCGCTTCCCATTCCAAAGGTCGCGGGATCGATCCCCGCGTCCTCCACAGGCGAATATACTTTTAAATCCTTTATATTAAGTTCGCTGCCACGCATATAAAGGATTTATAGTGAAAAACTTTGTTTTTACGGGTTATACTTATTATTCCGTTGCGGCTGGACGGATAAGATGAGCCACCCACAATAGCGGCGGCAGCTTCATCCAATTAATCCGCGGATAACCAAAGAGGTGCACTGGAGTCTAATTTATTGCGACGTAAATGCCCGCGCCTTCCACATCCGTACAGATGAGGGCATTTTTCTCTGCGGTCACATTTGAGATTTTGTTTATCATGATTATTTCGAAAGTCTCGTTTCTAAAATGTGCTCCCCCCCCCCACCCCCGTCATACTGTGTACGTTTAGTATTGCGTTGTCGAGACCACACGCTGGCATTCGACGGTGCGTGGGGGTTGATTTCTCATCGCGTGATGCATGCACGGCGCTCCAATCAGCTTCCCTTTGGCCGGGCGTCATAACAATGCCCGGGCTCAGAGGCGCGTGGCGGCGCACAGATTACATCCGAATGCGCTTCTCCAACACGACACACGCTGCCAGTGCCGTACGGCTTCGTCTCCATCAGCGTTTTGTGTGTGTGTGTGTGTTACGCTCACATCGAGAGCAAGCTCGATGTGAGTCACGTGCTATCACCGCCGCGGTGTCCGGCGGGGCTGCAGTGCTCGCCACTGAAAAGCGATGTGCTCGTGGAGACCGATCACTCACACCAATGGCCACGGTAAATATAAATTATTAGCATTTGAATAAGCGGAGAGCGGTGTATTTTGTAGAGGTGGAAACGTCTCGTTCAGGCCCCATTGTCTCTTTAAAAAAACACCCACACACAGAAGGTAATTAAAGAAAAATGTTGTGTGGAATTACTAAATTAATACACATTTGAGATGTTTGGGACGTTCAGATCTACAATGCTGAGAGACAGGATGCATCCCTGTGGACTCGCAACCTCCCTCCCCCCACTCCCCCCAATTCCCCCACCGCTCTCTGTGGTCAAATAAATGACGCTGAGTCGAATTGTCATTCCGCGCGCGTGTGCCCGTAAATAGCGGCGTCATAGATAATAGAGAGACGGCCCAGATGAGCTCCACGGTGCGTGCCACCTTCGGCACGGCCGTCAAACCAAATCAAACCGAGGCGGCGTTAGGCGACAGCTGCGTATTCCTGAGCACATTTCGCAGCATTAATTTCTGCGGACATCAGCGACGGCCTTTGGGAATGGAATAATTGCATAACCCTGCAAGACAGCAGTGTCAGGGTTATCTTAGCCCTCGCGAGCTACTGTCCGCGGAGGGTCCCCCAATGATTGGTAATTTATCACAATTACTACGGCTTCTGCAGCACCACCACTACCACCCCAATTTAAGGGCGAGTGGATTTGTTTACATCTCACACCGTGTTCCAGTGCGCGATCAGTTCACGTGCAGGTGACTGGCGGAATATTACATCACGGTGGCTGGGGGAGAGGCCTCCATCCAGCAGTGGCTTGAGCCTGGCTGATGATGTTTAAACGGTGTCTCGATACGTCATGGAACAGGTGCGACACGGCAGGCATCGCATTTCCTGTTTCTCCTTTACCTGTTTCCCTCAATGAAGTTCCGATTGCGCGAACCAGCGTCGCGTCACGGAACGCCGACGCTTCCACTTAGAACCCTGCAGCCAGCAGCGCATTTTTTCTAGATTTTAAGTTTTCGTGACTGCAAGGATCCATCATACTCTTTGTTTTTTTTTGGTAAAGTCACGTAGGTGAAAAAAAAAATCACGACGTTTCGGAAGCAACACAATGATGACGGATGTTTGTGTTGCTTCCGAAACGTCGTGATTTAATTTCGCTGTTTTATTTTATTTATTTATTTTGTTTTCACCTACGTGACTTTACCGAAAAAACCAAAGAGTAGCAGCGCATTGTCCTGTGTCAGAGAACGGCCCCACCGAAAGATGCCATTACAGAACTACTTCTGAGGTCACTTCACAAAGCTTCTTCATCCACACTCAGGGCACAGCTCTGACGGCTCTGCACAGTGTTCGACGCATGTCAGTTAAACCAAATTGTTTTAATGTCTCCGGATTTAGCACAATTAAGTGGCAACTAATTAAACTCGTCGCACTTGAGAGGCTGGTTCCATCACGGGTGCCTGCCCTGGGTTGAATCCAGGGCCTGAGCGTTCCTGGCTCAGTGCTGTGACCTGTGAGCCACCTCTGGCGTCACATTTCCTCAACGTCGAAGCACAATTTCACGAACAATTTGTGTCAATCACAGCAAAACACAAGCAGACATTCAATTTATATGTATAAAAAAACGTATAACGATCGTGTACGTGCAAGAGCGATGAGCACAACATCCATCAATACTTTGGCAGGACTACAATCTCTCTCTCCTCGCTTCTGTCACAACTGGCGTGATATGTTTGTAGCATTGCCCGAAACACAACACAAACATTTGACCGACAATGATCATTGAAAGTGTCACCGATAAAATACCATTCATTGGAAATTCATGAAACCCCGGGAAATACGAGGTCATTATGAAACAATATCCTCGGAGGCTGATCTTGCCAAAGTGTTGATGGATGCTGTGCGCACTGCCCCTCCGATCAGCATACGGTTGGCTACGTACGGTGCGAAAGAAGCTCAACGAACGCGCGTACATTTACGACGCTCGTGCCCAGTTGACCCCAAGGTGCGTATTTTTAAAATGACGCCAAGGGCCACGACGATGGGTGAGACGCCTTTTTCAGGGCAGGCACTCCCTGCCCCCTACCCCCACTACGTTTGCTCAGCTGTTATGGAAACGTAATTCCGGCTCACTGCTCGTGCTGGGAGACCAAAAAAAAACACGAGGAGGATTTCAGCGGGGAGGAAGAGAGGCGCGGAGTAGGCGGCAGGGATCTGTCTCAAATCGGCACATGAGCACGCGCGGTGCATCTGCTGTGGGGTTGACGGTCAGCGCACCGGACTTTAAATCTTAGAGGTCACCGGTTCCAAGTCCATCTCCCCGTGCAGCAGTTGAAGTAAAAAACCGCACAATTTTCCTAAAACCCCCACGCCTCTGTCCATCCACCAGTCTAAATGAGTGTGCCACAGCAGAACGTCAGGTCGTGTACGGCGGGGTCAACTGTGGGTGCTCGCACCTCTGCCAAGACATCTGGCCAGCGCGGAAGAGTAGGCCAAAAATACCCCGAGAGGCACTCTTGCGGGCTGCTGCCAGCGGAGTCCGTTCCGCATCTATGGCGCCTCTACCCACGCGAGAGTGATCTGGAGCCACGCAACGCCGCGATGCCCAACGCGGTGCGGACGCGCTGGCTGGCTCAACTCGGCGGTGGGCACGGCGTCACGCACGCTCCTTGGTGTGGGGGGCGGCAGGGGGGAGCGCACAGCGCAAGCTGCGCCACCTCCCCGACTTCCAGTGTCCGTGATGACTCATCGCTCGTGGCAGAGGGACGCGACACGTTCGGCGAGTCGTCGTGCTACGGCGGATTTTGGTTGAAAGATGTCGCGGCGCGTTTTGGACGCCTCCGAGTGGTCCCGGAGGTTGGCACGTTCGAGCTTTTGCCGCTGATGGCGCTGTGCGCAGGCGCGTCGCCGTCCAGCCAGTTAGTGTCCGTTAAATTGCACAGATGTGACAGATTCCGATGAAGTGTGCAAGGTGCGGAGGGAATTGCGTGCCGCTATCATGGCGCCAAATTCTTAGAATGTTGGAAATTAGATGATGGTGATGACGATGATGGAGACGGCGGCGATGATCACCGTGATGGCAAAAATGGTACAATCATTCTAGATTTGAAGCTTTCGTGACTGCAAGGATACATACTCTTAGGTTTTTTCGGTAAAGTCACGTATAAAAAATAAAAATAATAGAAATAATAATAAAAAATAATATTATGACTTCTATTATTTAAATTTTTATTATTTATTTTTACCTACGTGACTTTACCGAAAAAACCTATGAGTATGGTACAATCATCATTATCTCCAAATTGTACTTTGAGATTTATACTTTAAAAAATCGAATAATCTATATAATCAATAACATTCTGGACGTAACACATTCCACTTGTTATCCTCTCTCTATACTGAGATCTTGAGGCCCTTCTTTCCCATTAACTCATCCACGCAGACCGAGTGGTGGTGCAGAAGGCCCAGCCCTCGCAAACTCTGAAACCTGACCCTGAGCAGTCAGCGCTATCTCAGGATGAGCCAGAGATGCCCCGAGCTTGGAGTGATCTTTGCCGCGGCGAATTATGCCCCACAAAAGCGATGGCCGCAAGCCACGGCAATTCTCCATTATCCTATGTGATGTAACGCGAAGCCTTGCCTCCTTCAACCCTATCCATGTGTTGATCCCTGCGACGTCTCTCTCAATCTCTAAGCTTCGCTCGCCGGGAGGTCGCTCCTTCTCCTCTGCTGGCCCCCCAGTCTGAATGGCCCCTTCCCCCAGCTACCCACGCTGTTGACTCTCTATTCAAGTGCATGCTCAGGACCTTGCTCTTTCTCCTCTATCTTCGGCCAATTCTCAATACTCCTCGATAAACCAAATACGTGCACAAGCTTCCTTACCCCAGGACACCCATGTCCCACCGTTGTCTGGGGACGGCATCTTGAGATGCATGCCAAGGATGTGCAAACCTACCACAATGTGGGAGCCCTTCGTCCAGCAGCGGACTGACGTTAAAGTGCTGTACATTCAAAAGTAATTTTCTTACTATCTCATATATGTCTACAAATCAGCGTTGCGTTGTTGTGCTGTGCTGTGTGTCTCGCGCAGGTCCACACATTCCGGGGCCCCCACTGGTGCGAGTACTGCGCCAACTTCATGTGGGGGCTCATTGCCCAGGGAGTCAAGTGCTCCGGTGAGTGTAGCGTGTGTCTGTGTGTATGTGCGGTAGTGTAGCGTGTGTGTGTGTGTGTGCGGTAGTGTAGCGGTGAGCGCGCTGCGCTATGAACCCGGAGACACGGGTTCAATTCCCGCTCACGGCCAACACCAGTGACGATTATCTGAACCGGTCCTGGGCCTCCCCTAGGTCGACTCAGCCTGAAATGAGTACCTGGTGCGGTGTGTAAATATCGCCACTGGGGAGACAAAGGCGGTCGGGCGTGGCGCTGGCCACCCACCCCCTCGTGTACCGTTCCGGCCTTCATAGGTGCTACTCGCTAACAGCACTTGCCCCTACAGTCTGTTAAGGCTATACGGGGGATCTTTGTCTTTTTTTTTTGTTAGTCCTTAAAGTGCACAAAGCCTGGCACAAGCGCCGTGGTGACGTCACCGCGGTTGCTGTTGTTATTGTTGGTCAGTGCTGTGGGGGGTGGGGGTAGCGGTAGCATAGCGGACAGCACGCTGCGCTACGAAGCCGGCGACCCGAGTTCGATTCCTGCTCATGGCCAACACCGGTGGTGATTACCTGAACTGGTCCAGGACCTCCCCTATGTCGACTCAGCCTCAAATGAATACCTAGTGCGGTGTGTAAACATCGCCACTGGGGAGACAAAGGCGGCCGGGCGTGGTGCTGGCCACCCACCCCCTCGTGTGCCATGCCAGTCTTCATAAGTGCTCGCTTACAGCATTTGCTCCAACAGTCTGTCAACGGCTATACGGAGGATCCGTCTTATTCTTTTGGTGACGGTGCATCTGGCAGTCGTCTTAAAAAGTTAACCCATAACACCCGGGGGCTTGTCCCGATTACCTGCCAGCTAGCCGACATTTCACATGGCCTCCAAGTGCACCTTGCCTGGCACAATCGCGAAGGTGATATCACCTCCGTAGTTGGGAATGTCTGCGCGGTTGTTGTTGTAGTAGAGTACGTGTTTATATCTGTACGTACGGACGGACGTGCGTGTGTTTGATCGTGGTACCCGGCCATGACTATGAATCAGTAGCGAGTGATATCTGAATGTAAGGCCTTCCCGAGACCAACTCAGCCCTTAAAATGAGTACCTCGTGGCGTGCGTAAAAATAATAATGATCACGTGGTGCCTTTCCGGCACAAATGTGCCACTCAAAGCGCCATCGTCACATTCATTGCTCCAAGTCCCAATTCCCAGCTGGCAACGCCACGACGCGTTTCCCTGGGAGCGAGCAAGCGAGCGAGCGACACGTGGGCTGACGGATGCAACACAACACTCACGACTCCCCCCTCCTACAAGTGCTCTTTACTCATTTTCAGAGTTGGGGGGTTAGGGGCACTTGGCCGATAAGACATCATCAGTGTGAGGGCCGCCACACCATTCGAAACCGTTGGGGTTTGACATCAGCAGCATTTGCGGTGTTTTTTCAATTTTTTTGTATCGTCATCAGGGGCTTCACTAAAGGCCACCAGTTGCAATAAAACAAACACTGCGCTACACGCAGAGCGGGCAGGTTCGTGAGCTCGTCCCAGCAGCGCGCCACTCGCCCTGCGCTGCTCGACAATAAACGGCGACTCTTTATTTGGGCAGCAATAAAAAAAAACCTCAGCGAGGCCGAGGCGACTCGGTGAAAGCCACAAGTGGCGCCTTCGTGAGTGCCGACGGCGGCGAGAGGGAACGGCGGCTCATCAGAATGCCCGACCACACAAAAGGGTCGGCCGTGCGGGCAGGCGGCCATCTGCTCTGCAACAGGCAGCGGCCACGCGCAGCCGACTCTCAACTAACGCGACGCCTCTCTTTGTGTGACCGAGGGCGGTGGCCGTGGTGGTGGTGGTGGTTAGGGGGAGGAGGGGGGTGAGACAGAGGGAGAGAAAGGAGCAATGGGGTGGGGAGTGGGGGGCGAGAGTATAAGCGTGCGAGTGCAATTGTTCAGCGCCGCGGTTCTCAAAAACAAAGGACGGTGAAAGCATTCGCCCGAAGGAAGGAGGAGGCACAACATCTGCCGCCGTGGCTTTGTGAGCGCGGACGGCCTCTGCGGGGCGGCCGCCGGCGGTTTGTTTTGGACACAAAGGAGGAGGATTCTGGTGGAGCGTGGCGAGGGATGGCAGCGTGGGGGGGGGGGGGCAGGCAGCTTTGCTCCAGGTGCCGGGCCGTGATTGCTTCACCGCCGCTTGCCACCCTCTGGCTCCGAGCGAGACGCCAGATCGAGAGGCTGTGCAGCTAAGTCCGCGTTGACATTTTTAATTATAGCATTTTATTTGTTTCCACTGAAATGCCGTGTATTTTCTGGAGGGTTAGATGTTAAACACCTCGGCTGGTATACAGGTGGTCGGTGGTGCGTTCGATCCTAACGCTGATCTCTTTTGTATATTTGAAGTGTGCTTGTTCTCTCTCCCCACATTTGGCTGCTATAAGTTTCCACGTGATAAGCCGCTTCGTTGAGCTATCATTTGTGGTCATGTCACGTCTGAAAAACGAGCTACATAGCTCAGTGGGCCTTGCCTTTGCAACATAAAAACAGGTAAATATGTTGAAGAATATTTGGCATCATTGAGTTTGAAGACTTTTTCAAGGAGCAGCTTCAGCGTTTGGAAGTCTGAGTCTCAAGACTCATTCCCAGAGGGCCATGCTTTGGATTGTCATCTGTCCAACGCATTCATTTGTTTGTGGGTTTTTTTTTGTTTGTGAGGAAGATAATTGTGATAACAAGAGAGAGAACACTTCAAACGCCACATACAACAACGACAACCCAGCTGTTAATACACTAAGTCTACGCTCATGGGATTGGGCACGAGTGCACTTCAATTTAATGGGGCCCCTGCTCTAAGTGTAATCACCCCCACGTCAATAAATGTTAATTGCGCTTACAAGAAGGGGCCCTCTAAGTGCAATCAACAGACACTTACAAATGTGATCGGATGCCATAGAATAAGAGCGACCGCGTGCATGGACGTGCACAAACTCAGCGGTCGCGGCCGTCGTTATAAAGTAGGCAGCAGATTTCGATAAATGCGTGTACATCATCATATCGAGTCGTTATCTAGGCTAAGTTATTACTGCCATGGTTGTGTGTTAACTTAAATAAGTACAGTACTAGTCATCTAACTAGGCATAGATTCATAATATTGATTGTAAGGGCCATGACACACCTTGATTCGCGTGTGTAGGAATAGAGTTGTAGATGTTGTATGTAATGGGGTCACTTGACCACTGCAGTCACCAGAAGCTGTGTTCACATGCACAACCCATTGCTCCACAGACTTCAGCGAGTGAAACATTTCAGCAGTGTCGATTCAGCATAAGCAAGCTCTGGACTAGTTTCGACATCCAGTGTCTCATCAGCAGTGTAAACATACACATTTTATCGCGATTATTCCTCTAATCACCGCGGGCAAGACACACGCACCAAACGAGTGTTTCTCAACTCCACTTCGTTCCTTGATTACCAATCATCGGGTTTAGGAATTGTGCAAGTGGCTTAATTCACATACGAATAGGACAAATTGATAATCACGAAGCGGTGGGCCGCTAGAACTGGACTGCAGAGTGAGGGTAGAGGGGGCAGTTTATCCCCAGCCTCAGGTCCAAGGGGGGAGGGCATCATCCACAAATGTTCACCCGGCCTCAGAAAACCCTTCATGGGCTGTGGTCGTGAGGGGGCCCGCGTGGACCGGAGTTGAGAGACGCTGCACGAGACAGCGTGTGATAGAACGCTTCTCTGCTTCGTTGCCATTGCCATCTTCTGCCTGCCCACAGCACCGAGGGGGTCACCGACCTTGACCCCGTGATATTTTGGCCCAGAAAAAAAACTATCTCAGGAAAATGAATTACAGCCTCCGAAGGGCGTTTATAAACGTCGGTGAGGTTTTGTCCCTGATAGCTTCGAAAATAAAATCTCAATCGCCAGGCTGCCGGTTTCCCCAGGGCACATCTTAACACAATTACCCACTAACACTCCCATCCTTCCATGACCTTCATGAATCATAATCAAACCCAAGGGTAAAACTGTACTCGTAACCACACCTAGAATGTATGTTTACTTTTTTTAACGGTTTCCATCTGTGGTTAAAAACATGTATTCACGACCTCTGTTCGTCTGTCCGCATGATAACTCTGGTAAAGATGATACGATGTAAGCGTTCAGTTGGATAAACGTATGCTCCTGTTAGGGAATTAGCTTATTAAAACCGAACAAATTGATCAAAGGTCTGCTAAGTATATGCAGATACGATGTGGAAATGCACTGACAGCTCCCATCGGCTTACTCATCATTGATGGAATACTTCTGAAGACAAACGTACATTGGAAAACGTTACATAATCCATGTATGAAAAATAATAGGTTTTACCCTTTTTGCCACTAGTACATTAGGCTGACTCCCCTGTCATTACCTCATGTGGCCACTAGTCCCTTTGCATTGCAGGCTGACTCCCCTGTCACTACCTCCGGTAGCCACTAGCCCATTCACACTGCAGGCTGACTCCCCTGTCACTACCTCCCATAGCCACTATCCCATTCACACTGCAGGCTGACTCCCCTGTCACTACCTCCCGTAGCCACTAGCCCATTCACACTGCAGGCTGACTCCCCTGTCACTACCTCCCGTGGCCACTAGCCCATTCGCACTGCAGGCTGACTCCCCTGTCACTACCTCCCGTGGCCACTAGCCCATTCACACTGCAGGCTGACTCCCCTGTCACTACCTCCCGTGGCCACTATCCCATTCACACTGCAGGCTGACTCCCCTGTCACTACCTCCCGTAGCCACTAGCCCATTCACACTGCAGGCTGACTCCCCTGTCACTACCTCCCGTAGCCACTAGCCCATTCGCACTGCAGGCTGACTCTACTGTCACTACCTCCCGTAGCCACTAGCCCATTTGCACTGCAGGCTGACTCCCCTGTCACTACCTCCCGTAGCCACTAGCCCATTCGCACTGCAGGCTGACTCTACTGTCATTACATATGAATGACAATGGACATCTATTATCACTTTTATCGACGTCCTATGGAGACTGGTGATTTCGCACGCAATTTGGTATTGCAATCGAAGGCTCAGTACCGGTGATGGACACGAGAATCACCCCAACGTTGAGCGAACTATGCAAACGCATACTTAGAGGTGGATATATTTGCGTAACACAAATAAACCAGTCGAATGGGCAGCGACGCAGGCATGTACACAACAGATGCTCCAACTCACCCTTGACCTGCTGGCTAAAGACAAAGCTGCATGCCTTTGTCTTTACGTGTGTGTGTGTTCGCATACATGTAAATGTGTGTGCACTTGCCCCAACAGTCTGTTGAGACTATACGGGGGATCTTTGTTTCACATGTGTGTGGCCTTCATAGGTGCTGGCTGACAACACTTTCCTCAACAGTCTATTAAATGCTATATGGGAGGGGTCTCTCTCTTTGTTCACAAGTGCGTGCATTTGTACTCACGTGCAAGTGTGTTTGTGTATTCACGCTCACGTGTACACGCCTGTTTATTCGTGAGTGTGCGCGCATTTGTATATCCACGTGTGTGTGCAATCCGCGTGTGTGTTACAGTGTGTGTGGTGTGCGGTGTTAACCGTCGGCGCTGGGGGAGACAAAGGCGGTCGCGCGTGGAGCTAGCCACCCACCCCCTGGTGTGCCACAGTACCGGCCTTCATAGGTGCTGGCTAACAGCACTTGCCCCTACATCATGTTAGAGGCTGCACGGGGGAGCTTTGTCTTGTGTGTGGGGAGCGGTAGTGCAGCGGTTAGCGTGCTGTGCTCCGAACCCGGCAACCAGGGTTCGATTCCCGCTCACGGGAAAAACACCAGCGACGATTATCTGAACGGGTCCTGGGCCTCCCCTCGGTTGACTCAGCCTCAAATGAGTACCTGGTGCAACGCTACTGGGAAGACAAAGGCGGCCGGGCGTGGTGCTGGCTACCCACCCCCTCGTGTGCCGTGCCAGCTTTCATAGGTGCTTCCTTACAGCACTTGCCCCTACAGTCTGTTAAGGCGATACGGGGGATCTTTGTGTGTGTGCGTGTGTGCTGTGTGTGTGCGTGTGTGCTGTGTGTGTGCGCGTGTGTGTCAACCCATAACACCTCTGGGTCTGTCCCGTGACCTCCTTCCTGCCAGCGAGCCTTCGCGACGTTTCGCGCGGTCTCAAAGGTGCACCTAGCTTGGCACGAGTGGTTGTTGTTGCTGCTGCTGCGTGTGTTCAAGTGTTCATCGCGCGCGTCTGTGCGCGCCCGTGTCTGCGCCTTCGCGTGTGCGACGCAGCCAGCGTGTCTGAGTTTTTAAAATGAAACTACTGCGGACCGCCAAGGCCAGCTTCGTCTCGCGTTAATTCTCCCCCTCCACTCCTCCATTACCCCCCCCCCCCACGGGGGAATGCTAATGCGGCGTGCCGAGCGATGCCCGTCCACCGCCGCGACGCATCTGCTCCTGCCGGAATTTTTTTACATTATCCTTTCTTTTCTCTCTGCGCCCTCGTAACCTCCTCCACTATCACCATCATCACCACCACCACCACGGTGACGCAGGATTTGAGTCCCATTTCCCAGCAACGGATGCTCAGCATGGGTAGACAATGGGGAGGGGGGCGGCAGTCTCCCGGGACACACGTTAATGGTTGCTCGGTTATCGGAAAACACTGGGGGGGGGGGGGGGGGGTTCGACTCCCAGTGCACGTGCCACCCCCCCAACCACCACCACCTCCGCTCCGCGTCTGCCGGAACGCAACCGTGACCGTTCTGCGTCTGAACCAACTGTGTGGCACCACCAGATCTATTTCATTGATCGCGGTGGAGTTTCCACGCGTGTCCAAACCTCCCCCCCACGAGAGATTGATGATCACGCTGGATGGTCAAGGTCACGCAACATGATCGCAGAGGAAGGTTCACGGCGTGTGGTGCGCCGGATGCAGTTTGACCGTCCGTGACATCGAGAAACAGTTGAACCGTTATTTATATAACACAAAAAAATGTTTCTGACGTTGACATGGGAGGCTCAACTTTTTTTTGTAGGGCAACTGTTGATGCTGCAGCAGATTCATCTGACTTTTAATCTGAAGGTTTCACAAGTTCAAATCTCTGTTGGCGGTCAACTGAGCCCACAATCCCGTTCGGTTAGAAAATGTTAGGGTGGTTGAAATCGTGTTTTTTTGGCATTCCTGTTATAACTTTATGAATACGACTCGGCAATAAACCGGTTAATGGCACTTTTCCGAACATACAGTCACATCTTAAAGCGGCAAACGTAACAGTTTCATTTTTTTTTATTGAGATGTTAAGGAAAGTGTCCTGCCACAATCGCGCTATTATTGGCACCCCGGACTTGCCATCCAAAGGGCAATTAGATTCACTCTCTCGGGGCGGCAGTTCAAACGATGGGCTACGTTTCTTCAACAAGTTGCATTCTTTACCAAAATCCCACGAGAAATGGCTTCTGGTTCCTGACTTTAGTGACTGTTAATCGATTCTGAAAACGGTTACTGTTTTACCTGTTACCATTTAACAACCACGGATGATATCAGCACACATTTGTGAAAATTCGCCAGTGGCTGCCCAAACCCGCGACATTTCCTTGCTGACGTTTAACGCGGATTTTCCAACGCTCGACCGCCGGCCAAAATCGCTCTATCACGGCTACGAATAATTATGACTATAAAGGTCACTTTCTGTGCCGGTCCCTTGACCTTTAACACCCCCATCGCCCCACCTTGGCGAAACCGTCTCTCTCTCTCTCCCTGGCGCCAGACTGCGGCCTGAACGTGCACAAGCAGTGCTGCCGCCTGGTGCCCACCGACTGCCAGCCCGACCCCCGCAGGCTGCCAAAGGTGTTCGGCTGCGACCTCACGGCGCTGGTGAAGGCTCACCGCGGGCGGCTGCCCATGGTCGTGGAAATGTGCATCGGCGAGATCGAGGCGCGCGGTGAGGGCCCGCACACACACGCACGCACACGCACACGCACGCACACACACACACGCACGCACACACACACGCGCACACACGCACACGCACGCACACACACGCACACACGCGCACACGCACACACACGCGCACACACGAACACACACGCGCACACATGATTGCACACACACACGCGCACACACACGCACACACACACACGCACGCACACACACACGCGCGCACACGCACACGCACGCACACACACGCACACACGCGCACACGCATACACGCGCACATGCACACACACGCGCACACGCACACACGCACACACACGCGCACACATGATTGCACACACACACGCGCACACACACGCACACACACACACGCACACACACACGCGCACACACGCACAAGCACACACGGCGGACGAGCGCTCATCTGCGACGACGCGGCGGTCGCTGTTGCTCGATCCCATTTTCCGAAATGTATCGACGAAGGCAATGCCTCTTTGTACATTGCTATAGATGGACACTGTATTTAAGCTGGACCAAAAGAGTAACCAACGTAGAAGTAAGAAAAACGGTTGCACATAGACGAATATTATCTAATAATTCCCAGGCAGTGATGAGAAGGAAACTGTCACTATTTGGACACACGTGTAGGATGGGCATTGAGAGGAACATTTAAAGTGCGTTGTTGTTATTGTTCGTAAAAAAATTGATGTAAACGGAAAGAGAGGAAGGCCTACCAGAGAATGGCTTGACGACCATCATAAGAGATTGCTGCCAAAAAGATGTGGCCACTACCTGAGCATATTAGCACGAGAGAGAGGAAAGTGAAAACAAATGACGGAATGTGCGGAAGTCACGGATGAGACGAGTTCCACTGCCCAAGGCCATGTTCACGAGGCGGTCGCGAAAATCGCGGCGTGAGAATCACAACGACTGAACGTCAATTCTAGATTCGAAGCTTTCGTGACTGCAAGGATTCATATTCTTAGGTTTTTTCGGTAAAGCCACGTAGGTAAAAAATAAAAATTAATAAAAGTTAAATAAAAATAAAATTTAAATCACGACGTTTCGGAGGCAACACAAGCTCCGTCCGAGCTGTTCTCGTTTGTTCTAAGCATTCTCACGCGGGGTGCCATCCCGACATCGCACAAACCCCAAGAGCTCATCTCTACCACCACGTCTGTCTCTACAACTTGCGCGCGCACACACACAGTGCGATGAGTTGTAGGTGGGATAGCAATCTACCCCCGGCTTTCCACTACTACCACCCCCCCCACCTCCCACCCATCCCCTGGCGTGTCTGGAAGTGCCGCATATGGTGTTAGGAAACTTCGTGCGGAACCCGATTTGCTCAGCAGTAAACATCCGGCCCGGTGGCGCAGTGGCCAACGAACGCAGACTCGCAAAGTGCAAGGTTGCGGAGGTCAAATCCCGGTTGGGGGGTCGGCTCAAGACTTCTCATTGGTCAACAACAACAACAACAACAACAACAACAACAACAACAACGACGACGAGTCCTGCTGTCGTGTGGCAGACAGCACCGGTTTTCTTACGAAGTAACAGGCCCCTACCATAGGAATGTCGAATTTCCACCACCGGCTCAGTGCTGTAAACAGGAACTCGACAATCCATGCTCACTTGAGCAGTGTACGACAACAACAATGACGTTTTGGCACGGCACATTGTCACTAAATATGGCACATCCTGCGTATGTTTTTCACCTTCTTGTACGTGTAATAATTATCAAGAAAAATAATTTACAACCCATGCCTCCGGGATGTGCCAAGTTTTGTTTCATATTTATTTTTATTGGGGGCCGCGTCACTAAGTAGAAGCTTTGCGTTGACGAGGAGGACGCTCATTATCGGTCCACTATCCCACACGACGCCCTCGCTTGCGCCTCCGGCATTACAACAAATTGGCGGCACTCGCGAGCCGACGAGCGCCCCCTTCTCGCCCGCGCTGCAACGGAGAACTTCTCCGACGACGCGCGATTTAAAAACCGGGGAACTTCACAGCGGCCGCGGCGGTGGTGGTGTAGCAGCGCAGTTGGCCTGGGCCCCCAGTGCGAGCAATAAATGGGGCCCACTGTCCATTGTCCCCCCCTCCCCCCCCCCTTCTTCGTGGCGCAGCACGCGAGCCCCTCTGGCCGCATGCTCGCGAGCTGTGAGCAACAGGGCGCAGCCGAATTGTCGCGCTGTCGACCGTTAATCGTGAAATTCTTTCTCCGCGCCCTGCGGGCAGGCCTGAAGTCGGAGGGACTCTACCGGGTGTCTGGGGTCAGCGACCTGGTGGAGGAAGTGAGGGCGGCCTTCGACAAAGGTGAGGCTTCGTTCATCAATTGTTTGCCGGCTTTAAGGAATGTCCCGAACACCCTGGTCAACTTCCGAGGGGGAATTCCGGGTGATGTTGATTGGTGACCACAATGCCCGGACAGGTGGACATGGGCTGCAGGGCTACACGGCGGGTAGCAGAGGGCAGTGCATCGAAGAAACAAAACTTTGAAACTTAGATTAGCACATCGTGTAGAGCTCGTCGAGAGGAACAGATCTCCGTGTCGTTCGCCTTCAACAGACATCAAATGACGTTGCAACGCAGTTTCTGCGAGAGATTATGGGACCCCAGTGTCCCGCCATAAGGTTCATTTGTGTTTTGTTAAAATAAATGTCACCCTATGTGTTCTGAATTTTAGTCCACCCTGTATGCACATGAGCCCGGTGTCTGTCAATGCCCTGTCTGCCATTAGGTCGGGTTTCTTTCATGAAAACAAGAAACCCACATATTTCCCTCTTAGAAAAAAAATCACAATCATCACGACTTCAAAATTCTTCTCCTTATTATTTCACAATGCGATTATGCACGTAGCCAGCCATGCCCCGCGCACGTTAATTGGGTGTATAATTGGCATCGCGCATTCGGGGAATACGCGCGGTACTTGCCGAAGCCGGGGACTCGTTAGCACGCCTAACTAGGTCAGCGAAACGCAACTCTTCTTGTGCTTTGCGATTGATGATGCAGCAAGGCACTGCACGTACAGGCCTATCCACTTGAAGATGTCCCCCCCCCCGCCACCCCCGCCCCCCCCCCCCGGTATGGTTTGGAGCAGCGAGCCCATTCACCATCTTTCTATCCCCCTGCTTTTCACAACCGTTTTGGCTCACGTTGACGGTGTGTGCACGTGCATCACGACGTGATGCATTGGGCCCCGCACATTGTCTCAATAAAATAAATATTTTTCAGGAAGTCATCCCGGTTGAAATAATGGGGGAGAAATGTTTAGAGAACTCGAAACTTTTTGTTTTCAAAGCCTCCGCGTGACTGCCACCAATCTAAACGCGCTTATAAAGTCTTGCAACTCTCTCCTCTGTAAAACGTGTTCACAATAGTCAGTCTCCTACTGTCTATGCATGGATCGCCCTCTAAATTCCTCCATCTCAACTTTGCTCAGGGGGCGAAGCGCTCCGATCGCGGCTCTAGCTCGTGACTGACCCTGCTGCGCGTGAACCCTAACACCTACGCGGCGACCCTGCACTGGCATTCCTTGTCCCGCAGACGGGGAGAAGGCGGACATCTCTGCGAAGGCGTACGAAGACGTCAACGTTATCACGGGCGCGCTGAAGCTGTACTTCAGGGAGCTCCCGACGCCCCTCGTCACGTACCAAGCCTACCCACACTTCGTAGAGGCCGCCAGTGAGTGGCTCGGCAAGCCTCCCCTCACCGCTTTGAGTCTCCTAGCGTCTCACCAATCACCACCGCTTTGAGTCTCCTAGTGTCTCACCAATCACCACCGCTTTGAGTCTCCGAGTGTCTCACCAATCACCACCGCTTTGAGTCTCCGAGTGTCTCACCAATCACCACCACATTGAATCTCCTAGCGTCTCACCAATCACCACCAGATTGAGTCTCCGAGTGTCTCACCAATCACCACCGCTTTGAGTCTCCTAGCGTCTCACCAATCACCACCGCTTTGAGTCTCCGAGTGTCTCACCAATCACCACCGCTTTGAGTCTCCGAGTGTCTCACCAATCACCACCGCATTGAATCTCCTAGCGTCTCACCAATCACCACCACATTGAGTCTCCTAGTGTCTCACCAATCCCCACCACATTGAGTCTCCTAGCGTCTCACCAATCACCACCGCTTTGAGTCTCCTAGTGTCTCACCAATCACCACCGCTTTGAGTCTCCGAGTGTCTCACCAATCACCACCGCATTGAATCTCCTAGCGTCTCACCAATCACCACCGCTTTGAGTCTCCTAGTGTCTCACCAATCACCACCGCATTGAATCTCCTAGCGTCTCACCAATTACCACCGCTTTGAGTCTCCGAGTGTCTCACCAATCACCACCGCTTTGAGTCTCTTAGTGTCTCACCAATCCCCACCACATTGAGTCTCCGAGTGTCTCACCAATCACCACCACATTGAGTCTCCTAGTGTCTCACCAATCCCCACCACATTGAGTCTCCTAGTGTCTTACCAATCCCCACTGTCTGTCCGCCGTTCTGCTTACAACTCTAGAACCAAACATAATTCAAGGGTGAGAGGTACAAAAAAAACGTCAACACAAACTCCCCCTCCCCGAATGGAGAGAGAGAGAGTGAGTGTGGCCACACGTGACCCGCCGAGTGGACGAAACTTTTCATGGAGGAATCGTTGCGACGACCGCCTCGCCACGGCTGCAGAACGTCGAGAGCCAACGCCACCAAGAGCACGTCGGTGGCGATGTGGATACGGCCAAGTGAGGAGAGGGCGGGGATTGCAGGCCATGGATCACCCGTCAGTTGTGGCGAACGCACAAGCGCGAGCAGACGGAGTGAATGCTGTAAAACACGTAGACTTTAGCGACCATGTTGTGGGTTTACTCTCCAACACAACTGTGTGCTGTACTGGTAACGAATTGGCACATTTTGTTCACGTGACAAAACCTCACTGATTGACTGTGTCGGGTGGTGGCGGGCTTAACGACGCGTTCATATTTAAGCGATCTAACTCAAAGAGCCTCTATTATGGGTGAATACTACAGAGTGTGCAACCCTGCATGTTCGGACAAGGCAAAGAGAGGGAGTAGGGATTGCACAGCATTCACCGGCCGTCTCACGCGGGGAACGGACAGGGAGCGCGTGACCGGCACGTGCGGTAGCAAGGCCACGCAAGTGTCACCACGGACGCGAGCGACAGACCCGGGTGGGATGAAGCCCTGACGATTGACCCCCCCCCCCCCGTGTGCCGCAGAAGTGAGCGACCCCACGGAGAGGCTGGAGCAGCTGCGCAGAGCGCTGCAGACGCTGCCACCAGCGCACTACGACACGCTGCACTGCCTCATGGCCCACCTGCACAGGTGACACACACACACACACATATCCCCCGTGTAGATGGTTGGTGCAAGTGGTGTTAGCGAGCACTTATGAAGGCAGAGACAGCACACGAGGGGGTGGTTGGCCAGCAACCACGCCCGGCCGCCTTTGTCTCCCCAGTGGCAATATTTACACACCGCACCAGATACTTATTTGAGGCTGAGTCGACCTAGGGGAGGCCCAGGACCAGGTTCAGATAATCGTCGTGAACGGGAATCGAACTCGGGTCGCCGGGTTTCGTAGCGCAGCGTAGCGCTAACCAACGCACGACCGCTCCCCTCCACGCTCGCACGCACGCAGGGTCGCGCAGCAGGAGAAGGACAACCTGATGAGCTCGGAGAACCTGAGCATCGTGTTCGGCCCCACGCTCATGAGGCCGCACGAGCAGGACGTCCTGGCGACGCTCAACGGCATGAGGCACCAGCGCCTCCTGGTGGAGCTGCTCATTCGCCACGTGCAGGAGCTCTTCTGAGAACGACCGTGTCACGAGGCAACGTCCTCTTGCCACCACCACCACCTCATCCTCCTCCACCGGCGTATTAGCTCTGACCCTTCAACACCCTGCAATGCCCGACTACACCAAACAATGACCAACAATGCCCTACTACACCAAACAACACCCTAGAGAGACGCCGAATGACCAAATATATATGTAACTATTGAACGTAAACGAAACTATTTTGTATTTTCCCAGGTAAGGCCCACTGAGCCACGCAGCTCTTTGTCAGAAGTGACCTGGCCGCAAACGGCAGCTCAACAAAGTGGCTCATCACGTGGCAACGTATCGCGGCCAATTACTCTAAACTTATCTAAATCAGTCGGAACGCACCGGAACATAAAATAAGATCACTAAGGATGGCCCAGAGCGCCACTACTGCGGCCAGCAATCACGTGGACCTGGCGTATCACACAATTGCCCGCTTCGATCGTTCGCCTGTGTCAGCTTATGGGTTTCTCTGTGAGTCTGCGCGTCTCTGCACGAGCCTACGACTCTCCGCTCCAATTCAAGGACTCTCCGTGCGAGTCTGCATCTCAGACCGTGGGGACTGATGTGCTTACGGCCACTGCACGCTTTGATCATTTTGCTGGCAGCGTTTTAAGACATTCCGCTCACCAAACTCACTCGACACGGACAAAGACAAAGATCCCCCGTATAGCCTTAACAGACTGTAGGGGCAAGTGCTGTTAGCGAGCACCTTCGACACGGACGCACACACACACATTGCCGATCAACCCCGCCCCCCCCCCCCCCACCACGCCACCGTACAAGAGAAGAAGAATATCTGGAATGCGCCAGATATCAGAAGCCAAGCAGGGTTTGAGCCTGGACAGTGTTCGGATGTGGGGGGATCGCCGTGGGGGCTACTGCGGGGCTGCGTTGTCAGCAGTGGGCACTGCAGCAAAACGCTGATTTGTTGTACTGCACTTCGTGGCTTCCACATGTCTGCCCCCAGTCCTCACCGACGCATGGCGATGGGCTTGCCGAAGTACGGTCGAATAACCCTCACGATCAGCGCGGCATGGGGAGGCCCTCATCCAGAAGTGGATCAACAAAGATCTGTACGTTAATTCTACAGGCATGGCATAGTGAGGTGGGGGGAGGGGGGGGTGTCTGACTTGGATGTGTGTTGAACTTATTTTGCACCGTACGTAGCCAACCGTGCTAATCAGAGGTGCGGGGGAAAGACAACACATCTAAACACAAGAAAAGCAGTTCTAAAGGAATGAGTTTTCAACCTCGGCATGGGCAGCGTTTGAGACTGAGGCCGATCGCCATGCCTTGGTGTCTGTGCCGTGGAGCCGTTCCATTCACACAACCCTCCTGCTGTTCCGAGCCTCAACCCATAAACCCACAGAGTGGCACGCTCCAGACACCAGATGACGTGTCAGCACGGTGGTGGACTCGACAGTAACAACAACAACACAAACTGAAATCCAGGATGTGGTCCAGGACACATTCGATGACTCAAGCAGCCCTGCAGCTACGAGCCAAGCAGCCAGGGTTTCTTTTTTTTTCTCGTTGTTTCCCCCAGGCTAATATATTTCATTCAAATCCTGTCTGCCCCACAACTGCCGCTGGAGTGACGTCGCTCCTCGCGCTTATCCGACGCGCTGCGCGGTTCTCCAGCCGCAGAGGAACAAAACGCCACCGTGTCCCCGCCGACCCCGTGGGCTTGCAGAAATGGATGGGGTGCGTGCGCTGGCGGCTGGCCCGCGTCAAGCGCTCACCGCCAGCAGCGAGCGGCGGGGGGAACGCTTTGTCCGTGGGCAGGGCGCTAGACCTTGCGACGGAAAAGTCTCGAAGCGACGGTCAACCACTTGAGCGGGAGAAAGGGCAAAAGAAAAAGCAGTGAGGAGCGTGGAAGCACGGTCACGTCGACACGCCGTACTGTGCGTACATGACATCGACGGTTCAATTCAGTTCCTGGACAAGGTCCCTGCACGCGGAGCGAAACGCCGGGCGTCGCCCCCCCCACCCCCCCTGACGAGAACGCACGGTAAACAACCCGAACAGGCCTCGGGGAAGCTGGCTCTTCCTGTGGCTCTCGGTGGTGACCAACTGGGACATGCACCGCAGCAGTTGTCTGCACGCAGGGAGTCTCCGCGGAGGCTGGGCGGAGGCCGCGTCACGGAGTTTCGGTCGAAGGGTCGAGGGGGCCTGAAGTCGACAGCCTGAACTACACAACGAACGAATGTGGTTTGTGTCTCTCCCAGCGGCTACCGCTGCGCTGAAACATACTCTGAAATATTGAAACAACTCACATTTAAGCAATGCAAAAACGGTATACACTCGACCCCCCCCCATATTAAACATGGTGGTGCATGGGGTTAGTACACTGCGCCATGAACCCTGTGACCCCGAGTTTGAATCCTGAATGTGGCCAACATCAGTGTCTGAACCGGGCACGGTCGCTCATCACCAACCCCCATGGTCAACAGGGCGTGGTGACAGAGGCCTCCATCCAGCAGTGGAGTGAGAAAGAGCTACAAAGGAGAAGCAAGGCTCAATGGGAGCGCGCAAGCGACGTCATCACATGTACCCCTCTATTTAAGGGACGAAACAGGAGGATTTCTCCACAACTCTGGCTGTCGCCTGATGAAGCTGGTTGTAATTACTGGCGAAACGTCGAACTCAGATTTGTAAATGTTGTGACTTTGTGCTCTGCAACACACCGGTGTGGCTGTACTTGTAACGAATGTTCACGTTCTGTTTACGTGACAAACCTTACTAATTGGCTGTGTCGGGTGGTGGCGGGTTTAACGACACATTTATATACTTACGCAATGATATTGGTCGCGAAAGCCTGCGTGTTAAACTCAACGGAAAAGCACAAGCAATGGACCAAACCGAGAAAAATGCCCAGACGTTTCTGTTCTCGGCAAGGTCAATGAGCTTCTCACGAAGTCCTTTGAAACAACAGCCATAGCCACGCGATTGCCTTGCTGTGTGTGACGCCGTTTACGATCTTCGCGAACTTGCGATCATCAGGCAGCTTCCGTTGCTCAGTCACGGAGCCAATTTCAAATTCTTAGGTTTTCTCGGTAAAGTCACGTAGGTAAAAAATTAAAATTTAAATTCATAAAAGTAAAATAAAATTAAAATAAAATTAAAATCACAGGCAAGCAAGTGATAGAATCACGTCCTTGCCTGTGATTTTTATTTTATTGCCTGTGATTTTTATTTTATTTTTATTTTACTTGTATGAATTTAATTTTTTTTACCTACGTGACTTTACCGAAAAAACCTAAGAATATGAATCCTTGCAGTCACGAAAGCTTCAAATCTAGAACCAATTTCAAATGTGAAGCCCAGAACCGCCAACCATCCTTGCCGAGCCACAGCTCTCCGATGCGTCGCTTGGCCTGCACCGCGTGCCGATCGGCATCACCCTCTCGACGTTTTGCTCCACACGCCGGGAGCTTCCTAATTTTTTACTTCCACCAATGAAACTCGCAGCACGTAGTGGGGCGAAACGTCGGACATTGTCCAAAACAACACGCGGCGTAGCCCAATGGCTATTTGAGAGTCAACTCTTAAGAACCTACACGGGGGGTGGTGGGTCAGCTTAACCGCGTGTGCTATCCGAGCGAGCTGCAACTGCAGCGCCCTCCACTGTTGGTGCTCACGCAATGACAAAGGATGCTCAGGAGAGAAGTCTCATCCGTCGTGAAGCATGGGTCGGCACTGGGTTGGCTATGAATGACTACGCAAGGCTGTGGCTATGAATGACTACGCAAGGCTGTGGCTAGAGACACGAGTTCCCCATATGGTGCGCGTATGTACGTTGAACTTATTTCGCAGCGCACGCAGCCAACCGTGCGAATCGGAGGTGCGGGAGAGGGATGTGCTGGGTGTGATGACGGCATCGAGATGACATTAGGGAATGCAAATGCGCCAGCAACACGCCAGCGTTTCTGTCCTGTACAACCAGAACTGGATTTATGTCCGAAGTCGAATGGATGCCGATCAATGTATTGCTTGATGTGGGGCTTCGAGAGGAAAAAAAAACTCCAGTCCGCAAACTCCACCACGGTCCACATCTACACTTTTGCCGAACTGCTCCATTGAAGCGAACATTGTGGTTCGGCGCCGCATGCACGAGACGATCGGTAAAATTGAAAAACAGGACCAGAGTGGAGCACGACGAGTGGAATATCAAGAACTCTATCCCGGTAAACAAGCCAACGTCGGGCCAACGTTAGCCCAACGTTCCACGTTCACCGGGGTGAGCCTAACACGAAAGATCGTTGATTACGACTGTCAGGTTGAATACCTGCCGCGCCACGCACGCGGTCTCTGCGGAGGAGACGATCATTCAAATGGACCAACCACACGAAGCTTCGAGTGACAACAATGAGCTTCACGTCGCCACACACCCCTCCGACTGGAGAGAGAGAGACGACATTGTAAATATTGTATTTATTCGAAGGTACCTATAATGATACTCTCCCACCTAAAGATGTTTGAATGTTGACACTTTAAACACTTGTAGCCGTGTTCTGTACCGCTTGCCGGTCTGCGTGTTGTGTGGTTGGATGTCCACCCCCTTGTATAAAGTGGTACCCTCCCCAAGTTGAATAGTATGTACGCCTGGGCTTAATTTCTCCCGATTCTCTCCGGAGAATATTTCAGGACAAGGCACACGACGTTTCAGTATATGTAGCTCCTCTCGCCGCCAATAGCTGTGGCTGCTATTGTCACGTGACTACCGGTCTCTGACCAGCTTACCCTGAACATATTTAGTGAGAAATTAAGCCCCGATTTCCCCCTGTTTAAATGTACATCTATAGTTGTGGTGGATGCTGTGGTGTGGGATATTTATTTTGGGATGTTCCATTTTGGGGGAAACGGGGGGGGGGGGGGGGACGGGGGGGCTTGTTTTGTGAGTTGGGTTGCACCAACTGTTTTACAAATACAACCTTTTGTTTTGTAGGAAGTGTGTGATGTGAAATCATGTGATTTGCTCATTAAAGACAGACATAGTTACATTGAAGACAGACATAGTTACAACCCCTTTTTCAAACAAGGACATTTAGGATTTACTGCGTATGTTAAACTACCTTCTGACGACGAAACATTTACCGCTTTTATATACTCTGTCAACATTTTTACGTATATAGATAATAGGTCTCCAAACAATCTGCAAATGTATTTTTAACCGTTTGTTACATTGGTGCAACTAAGTGACCTACACTGCAATGTGTTTTTATAAGATGCCTTTCGCAATGTTGATGACACCTGCATCCTGGCTTACCGCAAAAACAAACCCATCACGTTCAACGTAATTATAATCATCTCACAACACTTGCGTTTAATTACTCAATCGCCTCCCTACTGTGAAACACTTGGCAGGGCCCTCTTGAAACGAGTCACTAGACTCGGTCAGATTATCCTGGGTAAATAATACTACTTATTATTTATAATGAAAGTAAAGGTCTCAAAGCGCAGTCTAGGGACCTTCTAATGGGAGCTGTCCCTGGGTGAAACCGGCCTACAAGTGGTCATTGTATACCCTCATTTTACCGTCTCGGCTAACTGGCACCAAGATGATTGCGTCGGCGTAGCATTGTGCAGGAAATGACGGAACATGGACAATATTTATCTAAATTAAACACGCTTAAAATGTGCGGCATGTAATGGGTTTGCCATGCTCGATGAAATGTCACGATTCCAGGTTACGATTAAATTCTAGAATCAAATTGTTCGTCTCATTATTTAAATGCGTTTTCAATGCTCGGTCTTGTTTGTTCCTTTGGACTCAAGGTAACATTTGTGTACGATTCGAATTGTCGTATAGCTAACCATTCTTACACAAACGATGCGATGACGCTTGTCTCGAATCAATGTGTAAACTTGGTGTTGGATCCGTTGTGACAGTGCAAGGCGATAACGATGGCAGTGCGTTTCCCAGACGAGTCACTGTACCGTCTCGTCTGGGTAGGAGCGAGTTCATTATTACGAAGTACGACCCGCGGGTCTTCTTACGCAGAAAGTATTTTCACATTTCCCAGGAAACGATTAAATCAGCAAAGGCAAGCTGCCTGAGCACGACCCCAGCGGCTGATCCTACAGCAAACGTTCAGGGTAAATCTAAAGAAAGGTTGTTTTTTTGTTACAATGAATACCGATTAGAGTTACAATGGTGAGCATGCGTGCGCGTCTCTGCGTCGCGCGTGGCCTCTGTTTCGTGGGGAGGGGAGGATGATGGCGTCTCCTGCGGTCAGTCCGGTTTCACAACCGCGAAGAATGTTTGTCGGTGTCGAGAGTTGTTCTCAACCTTGCCGAGCAACACGGTCCGTGGGCCAGAGTGACCACCGAAGGTAGAACAAAAAAACTGTTGCGGTAACATCTTCTTGGTTCTTTCGGTAAGTTCACGTAGAAGGGAAGTAATACAATAATAAAAATAAAACATAATAAAATAAAATAATATAATAAAATAATATTATATAATAATATAATATAATAATTATTTTTTTATTTTTATTTTATTATTTTATTACTTCCTTTCTACGTGACTTTACCGAAAGAACCAAGAAGATGAATCCTTGCAGTCACGAAAGCTTTAAATCGAAATTGTTGCGGTAACAATTCATTGATGTGGCTAATGCGAGTGCATTTTTTAAAATAATAACACCGTTCATTTCGAATGGTTGTCGCATAAGTCACTGTTGTTGGCCACATTTTGAAATTGTATCCGCCAAAGTTATGGTGGTACCGACAGGTGAAATGTCTGGCCTGGGGCTCAGGGTCTTGTTACCGCTATTTGAACTTTTATATTCACGGTGTCATTACGAGCAGGGCTCGCCGCTTTCGCTGAGACAGCACCACACAGGAGCTTGCGGCTTGATACATTGCTATCCTGGATATGTACAGAGGAGTCACGCTGAGAAGACAAACGAGATGAGGTCCAGAATAGCAAAGCACCGACATGGTGTTGAGTCATTCAGTGGCCCCTTTGAGTCGGCCCTGTTATTTATTGCCAGCCCTAACACATTACCACGTGCTTAGCTTCGACCTGCAACATCCAGTCACTTGGGAAATTAGTGACTCAAACATTAGCGATGCCTAAACCAGTCCATGCTCTTGCCACCCAACTCTCTTGGGTGACAAGTTGACGTATCAGGGTTTTTTTTTTATTATTATTGGGACCACAAGAAAGCATCTTGGTTTACCTGAGCATCCTGGATTCCGCTAACACGAAGCCAAACACTCATTCCTGGAATTGGCCAAATATTACAATGTGGCAGGCAAGACCCTCGTGATAAATAATCTGGAGATTTATTGGAATTTTTTTCGCGTTCGGGGCGCCGCGCTGGCGAGATGTTAACTCCCTCGCCCTGTATACAGGAGGTGGTGGGTTCGATCTCGACCCTGACGCCTGCTGTGTATTAGGAGTTTGCATGTTCTCTCTCCCCGTGGTCGCGTGGATTTTTTTTCCATGTACTCCGGGTTTTTCCCTCCACATTTAGAAACATGCTGTTTGGAATATTTGGCTGCTGTAACTTTCCACACGATAAGAGCCACTTTGTTGAGCCATCATTTTTGGGCAAGTTTCTTCTTAAAAAGAGCTATATAGCCCAGTGGCCCTTGCCTAGTAAAATAAAATAAATTGAATTATTTTCTGCGTCACGTGAATCGCATGTACACTGCCCATCGGCGAGGTCAAGGCAGAACCGATTTTAACTCAAAGTTACTTTTCACGAAGTAGCAAACGTGAATGAAATCAACATCTTACGCACGCCCAGGTGACAAGCAAACGCACTTATGCCACTGCATTTGGACACGTTGAGAAACAAACGTCAATTCCACAGTCCGTTTATTATATTGATATTTAACCTGGTTACATCACGTGATGCGCGCGCACCGTTTTGTGCGGCGCTCGACCTACGAAGATGGAGGTGGTGGCACACACGCCTTGTGCCGACACCGAGTCGGCTTATTTGTTGAGGGACGAGCTGTTGTCCTTCTGACACGACTCGCGAACCCGCCGATGTTGTTACACTCGGACTTGGCGTGCCGCTGTGCGACTTTCACTTCACTTCACACGCGGTACACCCCGCTGGTGTCGAGACCGTGCATGACGAGTCCCAACGGTTGTTCGTCAAATGTAACAAATGCAAACAGGAACTGCGTGATAACCACTTCTGTCCTTGAGTGTCATTATAGATACAGTAAATATATTTACATGTACAACTTATTGTCCGTCCACTGCTGGATGAACACCCCCACTCCTCACATCTACAGCTGTCAGTCACGTGGGGTATTACGGCCATACTTGCCCCATGACTTGTTTTATTATCGCATGGGAAGAAGCCAGTGGCTGGAGATACGCCACAGAGGAGCTAAGACTCCAAATTCGTGTTATTAAGGTCAGCAAACTACTTTCTGTACTGCGTCCTAATGGGTGCGTCCATAAATGACGTCACGCACCTCGGGGCGGGGGGGAGGGTCAGACATTTGTGACGATGTGTGACGAGGGGGGGGGGGTGTTGAGAAATGTGACGTCACATAAAAATGCGCAACTTTAAATAAATATAGACGACACGTTCTACTTAATTAAATTGACTTTTTAATAAATGTTTTCTCCTACAACATCAGAGTGCAGCGCCACATTAAATACGCACTACAATGACAATAGTTTAAAGCGATTTGAAGCATGTTTTATTTGGGGGGGGGGGGCAAAGCTTTGTGACGTCATATTTGAGGGGGGGTCTCACTTTTGTGACGCCGTGTGACGAGGGGGGGGGGGTTCAAAAATCGTCCAAAATTGCGTGACGTCATTTATGGACGGCCCCTAAGGCTTCCACTGAATACCCTGCGCACTGCCACAATGTGTCCGCTAGGTGGCTTACCTTCACAGCAATGCTGTTTATATAACTCGTACATTCTTCCAGTGTGCCCACTATATATAGCAGAAGTACGCTGAAGCCTGTGTGAACACCAATTGACAACGCGTCTTCAAAGTGCGAATACCGCATGCGATTAAGCACCTGGCCTGTACAAAACATAGTCGCCCTCTAGCGGACATAATTTAGAACTACAGTGCGGGCGGAAAGTCCCTATACCCCCGTACACATGATGTTTATCAGAGATTTTGAGACATGGGGTATGGCGACTTCCCGACCACGCTTTGCGGTTGACATTCATTGACTTGAAATGCTAAGCACGAAGTGGAGTGGTGGCGCAGTGATTAGCGCACGGCACCACTGCGTAAAACCCCGTCGCTCTCCCTCTCCGGGCTTCACCAATCAGCGACCGTGAGCTATTGGCCATCAACCGCGTGGGACACGGAGTGGGGGAGGGGCGGCCTCCGTCAATCAGTGGAATGATAGAGTGCATCTATATACAAAAAGGGAAATTTGTGAATGTGTGTCTGTTCGAAATGTTTAGCGTACTTCCCGACATGCAACAAACTTTAAATTTGGCATGTGAGTAGCTTCCAGGCTGTGCACAATGCAAAACGTATAAAAAAATACTTTTGTATTTTTTTTTTGGGGGGGGGGGGGGGCGCAATAACGGATATATTTTGCACGCAAGTGAGCGGTGACGTCACATCTGTGATGTCACCCGCATGCGGCAGCGTCACGCAGTGTACCTGCTGACGTCACCCCCCCCAACCATCCACGTGGGTCGTGTGTTAATCCAAGACAAGAATCTAAGTCCTGGGCGAAGCCGGGTAGTTAAGCTAGTTATAAATATACCGTAAATACATTTCCAAATTCCTGCTACATCGAGGAATAGAGCGACGTAGCTGCCACGTCCATGTCCCTTCTCCCCATCTTCTCACTGCTCTGTGTCGTCTCGACACCCATTGACAACCCACAGTGTGACTATGTCCGTGCAACCCAAGCTATGGACCGTATAGTAACACCACTGTAATCTGTACTCCTCCAGCGGAGGATTAGCACAGACGACACGAGCTCTCCCCTGAAGCCCTCTCGACATTGGCATTTACCTCCCGCGCGTCATCGCTGCACCTCCAACAGCATATTACCGTGTTGAATTTAGATTTGTTTTTTTGGTATAAACTCGCATTGCATTGAGCTGGATCGTAATAACCATTAGCAGTGTGTTCACTTTCAGCTTTCGTGATACACTCCGCAGAGAGTAAATGACTCGGTGCACCGTTGAACAGCAAGAACGATAGGACTGTGATAATGGAGGCTGACAGTGCTGAAAGTAAAATCAAACTCTATGGGTGTGGACCAATCAACTTCAAGGACAGTGCACATTATCAGAGTTATGTTCTTTTGTTTGTATTATGACTGCAGGTATTGCGGTCTATGCAAACATGACTCCTTGTAAAAAGGTGTCAGTTTTGTTGCCAGATAGAAGGGTAAAAAAACAATTATCATAAAATCAAACTCTCGTCGAGAATTAGTACGGACCCGAATTTGACGAACAAAAAAAAACGGAGTCTGATTGTTCTGGTTACTAATCAGAGGCTGGATGATATCCGTGCGAAATGTGGCCTTCCTTACCGTTGTAACTTTCACCATTCGTCTTTTTTTGTTATTATTACACGCGTTCTATTAACTCATTCGGTCTGTTGTTGTTGTATACTCAAACCTTGTAACCCAATTTTAAGCCCACTTCGCAATGTGGTATCGACTGCAAACTTTGTATACTTATGTCATACTCATGACAAGACTATATTCTACAATAAAAATTGATATTTTTAAACGTTCTTTTTTATATTTAATGTTTCGGCTTGGGTCTAATTGTCCACGCTCAACTGACGTTGGCTGTAAATCACCACGGTCCCTTACGTTATGGCAAGCTTCGGGCCCTCTACCTGGAGTCGTGGAGTTCTGCGACTACTAGTACATTTCATTGAAGCGTGTTTTTTTAAAGTTTTTTTTTAATATTACTTATTTCAAGTCAGTCACGTACGTCCCTACGTACAGCGTTAGATGTTGTATCGCAGAGCACATCAAGGCCACACACAGCATGCACCTAATCGTATTCCTACAGGTGTCAGCAGATGGCGAGTGCCATTCACTTGAAATCCCATTGAGACGTAGTAACAATTGCACGTTCAGTGCAGTATTTGAATCACGGTTTATATATGTTGCATTTCTTTCGCACCGTACGTCGTCAACCGCGCTAATCGGAGGTGCGGAGGACTGAACGATCGCAAGCTCCAGACATTCTCTATCTGCTGCTGGATTAAGGCCTGTCCGAGCAGTCGCCATTCTCCGCAGTCAGCGCGATGTGACACTGCATCTCACTCATGCACACGAGCTAACCACATCGCTCCATCTCCCCGCTGGACGTACACTTGACCTGCCAGCCCGCACGATCATTTCGCGTACCACAACGTACCAAAACAAAAACAATTCTTCAATATAAATTATAAACAAGTATAACCCGTAA